TCGAGGGTGATTTTTATTTGCAGTTCTATATCTGTGGTATTTGGATAAATCATGGCAATAGTAGCAATAGTATTAGTCTTAGTATTGGTGGCAGTACTAGTAATAGTAGCATGACAATTTACATATATGATTACACCAACAACAAAAGTAGCAGGAATAATGTTAATAGCGTTAAAACAATGAACAGTAGGATTACCATACATCTATCTTACACGCTGTAGATTATATTTTTATTTAAATCTAATTGTAATTATTAGTACAGAAGAAAAGCAGCAACTGCAGCACTAGTAGTAGATAAAGAAGCATGCTGAGAGTATATTTGTTGATATTTATATACAAAGTGTGGCCAATAAAATCTGAAAGCTATTCTGTTGCTACCCTTTTACAGGGTCATACTGTTTGCTATATGGGCTTGTATGAATAAGCTATCGCCGTTGTGAAGTTAGTGTTTATTGTGACAAAACATTGAAGATTACCTAAAATTACATTTAAGTCTGGGATGTATGGGGCTGTGGATTATTTACTTTGAAATATTTGTTTCTCTTGATAGCGCCCCAAGGGGCATGGTTCAAGGCAGTTGAGGCGGAGCTTTATCTGTACCATTTTTGGGACTTTCTGCCTACCTCATAAGAGGTAGGGGTTAAACCATTTGTGAGGAGGAGAAGAATCTGTTCCTACAACAAATGATTTTCTTTTTCTTTTATATTTGAGATTAGTTGAGGTTATTGGCATTGGATTGATGTTAAGATATTTTCAAAGAATAGAATTCTATGGTTGCTTGACTTTGTTATGGGTCAATTTCTTTTGTTCTTGTCAGATGTCAGCTCTGAAATCTGCCAACAAGGAGTTGAAAGGAATGATGAAAACTGTGAAGATTCAAGACATCGATGTGTGTTGAGTTTTTCTGAATTTATACCTTGCTAAGTCCATATTAACTTGAGAACTTCTGTGTTAATCAGTTCTTCCCTGCAGAATTTGCAAGACGAGATGATGGACCTGATGGATGTGAGTAATGAAATTCAAGAGACCTTAGGCAGAAGCTATAATGTGCCTGATGACATTGATGAAGAAGACCTAATGGGTGGTAGGCCTACACTTTACGGGCTTCATAGTTGGTGTGAAGAACGTTTTTTGGATATATGGAGTTTTTTCTGAATTTATTTTACATCTAGAAACTGTCAACATAGGAAGAAGTTAATTGTTCTAGGTCATTATTATTTTACTAGGTTAAGAGCCCACTTAATGCATGTGCATGATCATAATAACCTTCTAAACCTTACCACCTATGCTTGTGTTGTTTGAAAATCTTTTATAACGAAGAAAAACCTAGGTCACAGATTTACAGTTTTTTGTTTCCTAAAAAATACTCTATAGTGAGAGGAATGTAAAATAAATGAGGAAAACATTTAGGAACTTCAAGAAAGTTTGGCATCCCTGTGGGCTGTGTTGCCGAACAATAGTAGGAATGTCTAATCAGAGCACCATGCCTACAATATAAAAAGACTTATTCTGGATGAAACTGCCTTATCAGTGTATTACTGGCATTTGAATCACTGTGACATGAATTCTCATTCAACAATGTCGAAGTCATGCTCTCTCTTATGTACTCTTATTTTCTTTGGAGGGAAAACCAATATAAATTTTCGTTTATTATGCATCCTACTTCACTCTTAACTAATTTGAGGGTACAGAACTCGATGCATTGGAAGCAGACATGGGAAACGAGACAGAAGCTGATGGGGTGCCTTCTTATCTCCAACCTGATTTGGATGCGGAGCTGAACTTGCCTTCAGCACCCATAGGACAAACAGCAGCACCACCTGGCAGATCAAATGTGAAGGTGAATTTGTCATCACA